TCTTTTAAAATTATCACATCTTGGCCTAAGATTTGAAATCTTTGTTTATAAAAAGCCTGAATAATTTCATTACGAATTGACTTCTTTGAAAAATAAATCACAACATCTCTTGGAAGATTTTTCTGTCTCGCCACCCATGAGTTAACTCTAAACATTTTTTCCACTTCTCTCTTTAATTCTTCAGGTTGGCAGGACAAAACCAAGGCTAATTCTGTTATAAGTTCCTCCTCCAATTTTTCTTGAGCATTTTCCAATAATCCTCTTATTCTCAACGCATGTTCCATTTCTCTAAATTGTGACATAAGAATCTCATTCTGATTTATATCGGTACTCTCTTCCACTTTGCCCATTCTGATATCCAAAACTTCAATCTGCTCCTCCACATCTTCCACCCGCCCTGCAACACGATCTACATTATCAGCCAAAGCTTGCAATGCAAACACTATATCATCTCTCAACTCAACATTTTTTTCTTCAAGTTTTTCCTCAAGTTTTTCCTCAAGTTTCTCCTCAAGTTACTCTTCAAACAATTTAACAGTGTCCTTTAAAGCATCTTGTAAGTCTTTCAATGTTAAAGCTGGCAGTGGAGGAGAAGGTGGGGGAGTAGGTTTTGTTTGCTGTGATAACTGTACAGCTGGAGAAGAAGAGCTCAAGCCTTTCTGAGGAGGAAAAGTTCCCCCACGCTTTGAAGCCATTTTGCTTTCTCTTCCCCTCTTCTCTAATTCAATTTATAAAATACAATGTCCAGTAGAATTTTCTTAAAACTGCCACAAAAAGCAAAAACAAATAGTTTGCACCCCAACAGTACCAATAATTCTGAAACAATAGTAATCCAGCAGAAAGTGAAAGCCAAAGTGAAAGTTCTCAATAAGTGAAAGTCTCTATTAAAGAGCAAAACGCCCTTCCATGGCCATTTTTTCTTTTTTTTTTCTTCTTAAACTTTAAATCCCAATGGAGAAGTTATTGAAATCAGAGCTGAAGGCTCATATCTGTGCAGCTCCCAAGCACCTGGGTAGCTCTGTCTCTTCACAAAAGTTACTCACGCTCTCCCATAAGCAGAGGTTGAATCCGTGCCTGGCTTCGTTCAAAGAACGGAGGCAGCCCAAAGCGCGGAGAAATCCTTGACTCTGGGGGACCTCACCTCCACCCCCACAGCTATAAAACTGTGAGAGCTCGGGAGTTCTACCCCTATCAAGGAAACTCTCCCCCCTCCCCTTTGCCCGGGGAAGGGGATTCCAAGCCGTGGAACAGCTGTTTGACGCTGCTCCTGCGGCTTTTACGCGTCCTCGGAGCGGGCGGCGAAGAGAAACGCCGCCATCGGCACAGGAATTCAAACCGGAAGTCCAAGGATCATTAAACAATTGAAATTTTATTCACATTTTCAGAGCTTTAAACAGAAGCTCTGCGTAGGGGAAGATATATGAATTTAATTGGCTAATCGGTTGATTTTGCAAAAGGAAGGAATGATGCCAGGAATGATTGACAGTAACTAAGAGAAGATTTGGAAATGGAAGTTGTATGGTGACTACAGAAAACAATTCCTATACTCAAAATACTATTGTTTTTCAGATATTTTTCCCCAATGCTTGGATCTGATGAAATTTACAAGCATTGTGGACTGAAAATGTAAACTTGCATTCTTCTCACAAGAACCCCACTTGAAAGGCTGATCAGACTCAATTCTTTATCATTTTTGAAAGGGTAGAGCAAGATGCAAGAAAGAGCAAGAAAAATAGCAGAAGTGCTTTTACGTATGTTTCGTGCATAAAATAATATGGTTTTAATCTACATGAAACAGCAACAAGAAGAATTATTGTCCTGTTCAAAAAGACTGCATTGCCTACTACACATTCAATACATCACATATTGAGTGGGGTCAAAAGCCTACTAAAATTAGATTCCAAAAATGAATGTTTTGGCCTCTTTGCTTCCTTTTTAACATCTCCATGTATCTGTTTATGGCTGACTAGTCTGAAAACCAAATTTGCAAGAATTTCCTTGCACTTTGGGATATAACCTGGTCAAGGATGCTGACCATTTCCCCATTCAAATTATGGTTGAGTCTATCCATGTGTTATACGATTAAGGAGTTTTATTGTGTCATCTCACTGCTAGTTGGTGTTCATGGATGTGGTCTGCTAGTCTTCTGCTGTATCTCCTTCATAGTGGCTGTTACAGTCACTCTACACAGTAATTCCACACAGTATCAGTTTACATTGGGAAGTCATAGGATATAACATTAAAAGAAAAAGAAATCATCTTCTGCATCCCTTACTTTCATTTTATTTATGTAGTGTGACAAGTTTTGGATGTGACACCATCTCTTCACAATTTAAAAATGTATCAGTAGAGCACAAGGCAGCTAAGGACTGGCAATTAAACCTAGTAATATGGGAATCTTGGTCACCAAAGAGTCAAGACAAAGGTTCTTCATGACGATAATGAGGGTACTTACCACAACGAGGTGGAGGGTTTGGTGAACTGGTGTAAGGAAAACAGCCTAGTTTTAAGTACTGGGAAAACCAAAGAGATCATTGTCGATTTCAGAAAAGGCAGGCACAGCCACACTTCTCTGCGCATTAATGATTCACCTGTGGAGATGGTTACCAGCATCAAATTTCTGGGTGTACAGTTAACAAGTAGGCTGGCTTGGTCACTCAATAGTGAGACAATGGTGAAGCGAACACAGCAGCGGTTGCATTTTCTGCATCGCATGAGAAAAGCACATCTTCCTTCCCCTGTCCTTACCACTTTCTACAGAGGGACAATCGAGAGCATCCTGTTATACAGCATCACAGTCTGCTTTGGAAACATCACTCCTTCAGACAGGAAAGCAGTGCAGAGAGTGGTGAGGATGGCTGAAAAGATCATTGGCAGTTCCCTTCCATCCATCCAGAACACAGCACGTAAGCATTGCTTGAACAGGGAACCCAAGATTGTCTGGGACACTACACATCCTCTTCATGACCTGTTTTCCTTGTTACGTTCTGGGAAGAGGCTCTGTGGTATCTGAAGCAGAACATCCAGATTCAGTCACAGCTTTGTTCCATACAGTATTAACCTTGTGAATGCTAAAGCGTCCTCCTTCCGTTATGTATTCAAGATGGACAGTGAATAATATTTATGTTACTTATGTGTAAGGGTGTAGGTCTATACATATGTTGTATATAGTATGTTTTAAATAATGTGTTATGTATGTGTACACTTTGAGAGGAAGCAACTAAAAGGCATTTTTAATGTGTGCCATTGTTCTCATAGGAGAAAATGACAATAAAGGTTATATATCTATCTATTTTTGAAGAAGAAAATCCACAAGCTGAGTTATATAGCAGTGGATCAAGGAAGGAACAGATCTTTGTGCAAGAACATCCACTGCATTCAGAGCTGATTCACTGGTGGACTTTCTTCTTTGTTAATTGTCTGGATCTCTGATGAACATAAGCACAAATCTCCAGCCTTGGAAGCAAAAGGGTGGTTTGCCCAGTTAAGATGGCCATTAAGGTGGAGAAGGGAGAGGGAGCCACACTGGGGATGTCCTCATGATTGTTTGCGTGGTGCGTCTGAACTTCTTTTTGGAATAACCTATCTGGGAAAAGTGCCTTATAGGTGTCCTGACAAGGAAAGAAAAAGGAAGGAAGAAGCAATTTGGTTCCATTTCTTTTTTGAGTTACTATTATAAATTGACTGATTCTTCCTTCTGGGTGAGGGCCAGATAATGAGTTGGTGATAGATGAATGAACAGCAGCAGGCAGGGAGTCTATGAAATTTGTTTATATGAAGGTATTGTACTCTGTGTGTGTATGTGTGTGTGTGTGTGTGTGTGT